AGTGGACTCACAATGGAACTAGAGCACTCATACCTGATCTTTCCATTGAGTTCAAACCTGATTGGTCCATTTTGAATCTTGGTGTCATATTCAAAAGGGAAACCCCTAGAGCCTGGCAGACCTGACTGGTGCTGATGGGAGGGCCCGCTCCTAGATGGTCCCCTATGGAAGCAATGGCCATAGTCCACCTCAGTGGGGTGGGGTGTTAGCAATGCAGAAGGCCCTGCAGCACTGGGACATGGGTTGCTACTGGGAACCCATGTTGTAGGCTTTCCTCCCCGGTGCAGTAGGCCTGGGTAAATCTTGCCAATGTAGCCCCTCTGCGGTTACTCCTGCTGAGGCAGCGGGACTATGAAATGCCAGTAGCTGCTGTCAGGACTTGTCAAGCACCCTCCGGCTGCATGTGCTAGGCTGGCTGCTAAGCCTCTCTATTGGATCCCCACTGGAGTTGCTAGAGCTGAGGCAGCTGGGCAAGGAAACACCTGCCACCACTACTTTCAGAGGGACCTGGGAGATGCCTGCAGGGAATGTGCTGAGTTGGCGGGGTCTCTCTGAAGCTATGATGCTGGTGGCTTGCACCTGGGCCACAGCAAAGCCATCTATGCCCTGATGTCTCTAGTGACCTCAGGGATCCTGTTTCAAATTGACAAAGTGAAATACTTACAAAAGCAAGGGAGGTGAAATACAGGGTTCTGAGGTTAAGTGTGAAGGGAGAAACTGACAAGGGTATGTAAGGAATAGTGTTGCAGATAAAAAGAAAATGCTAGTACTGACTAAGGAAATAGACAAAGTTGAGTAATCTTTTCAGTAAATAATTTGAATTGTAATGAAAATGCTTCTACAGTGGAAAGTGTGGCATAGCTGGTTTCACTGATAGAGACAGCCAAACATCTAGGGAAACAATAGGACACTTCGCATTTTTCCAAACACTGTCAGTGATTCAGATAGTTGGGTTTCTTCCTGAGATGACTAGCACATGCAGGTAGCACACACACAATTGCCACACTCCTATTTATCCAATATTAAGGACTCCTGTTTTAAAACAATGGGTTAAGTGGGGCCTCCCCAGTGGCACAGCGGTTGAGTGCTGGGTTGTGAGCTGCCCGCAGCCTCTGCAGCACTGGTGCGATCCCCGGCTGCCCCCCGGCCACCAGAGGAGGGTCCCACATGGCGCGTAGACCTCCCCTGCCGACCGCTGCTCCCCTCAACAGTGCACACTGTCAGTCTGCCTGTTCTGCTCCTGCTCTGGCTCTGGTGAATTCTCTCACCCTCCCGCACTTCTGACTGTACCCAGTGCTTGTAAAATGAATAAATAAATCTTAAATAAATAAATAAATAAATAAGCAATGAGTTAAGCTCATGGGCTAATGAACTAAAGTGCCATTCTTAAGTATGTCACCCTTTTTAAAGCTGAGAAGCATATAAACAATTGAAATGGACTGTGATGCATACTAAATTGAAATGAAGCACATGCTATCAAACGTACAAAAATGCATACCTTTTTTAAATTGATGGTGCAGGGTAAGTAAAAATGTCAGACTTTTCTGCCTTCCCGCCATCAGGATAGATGCTGGATCCCTGTGGTCCTGAATGCATGCCTGATGGCGGCACCTGGAGTAGGGTGTGGGCATAGGTAGATGGGATTCACCTGGGCTGAGACTGGGCTTTTAAGGGTGACATCACAGGATGCCAGCAGAAGCTGAGAGAGAAGCAGAGAATGCTGGAAGCCCAGAGTGAGACTAGGCCTGCCAGCCTCCCTGCCCCACAGCATCCCTGCCTGCCGTGTACCTGGTAATCCCAATAAAAGACCTGCAAAAACCAATGAGGACTCCGACTCCTCCTTTACCCTGTCTGCTGGATCAGAAAACCTGCTCTGTGTCCTGTTCTGTCCTTACAAATGGGGTCACAAAAGACTTAGAAAAAGGCATCTGAGGGGGCCTTCCTGGTGGTGCAGCAGTTGAGCGCTGGGCAGCGAGGCTGCCTGCAGCCTCTGTAGCACTGGTTTGTTCCCCGGCCGCTGGCAAGGGTCCCACAAAAAAAAAAAAAAAAAGACATCTGAAATGAGGTGAGAAGAGGTTAGAAGTTTGTAAAATGAAGGGATGTATCTAACTAAGCAAATATAATTATTAAAACTGGAAGTGGGGGTGTAGGGTAAGGAAAAAGTATCAGGCTTTTCTGCCCTCCCGCCATCAGGATAGATGAGGGAACCCTGTGATCCTGAATGCATGCCTGATGGCGGCACCTGAAGTGGGTACACCAGACCTGAGAGACTGAGTTTATTAGGGTGGCGTCGTGGGGACACCAGCAGAAGCCAACAATGAATGGAAGCCAAGAGAAGAAGAAAAGCAGAGAGAACACCAGAGAGCCCAGATAGAGTGAGGATGTGCTGGGGGCTGGGAGGCCTGCCAGACTCCCGGCCCCCCAGCATCCCTGCCTGCCATGTGCCTGATAAATCTAAATAAAAGACCTGCAAAAGCCACCGAGGGCTCCAGGACTCTCTCCTCCTTTACCCCGGTCTGCTGGGATCATAGAAAACCTGCACTGTGTCCTTCCTGCCCACTACAGGGAGGCTAGTAAGAAACCATCCTCTGGGAATATAAAGTAATCAGGATATACAAAGTAATGGGACAATGGTGAATGATACTGCTGAGCAAGGATAATGCACTGAATGAGCTTGTATGCTTTGTCAAGGAGTTTGTACTTTATTTAAAGATAAAAGGTTAAAGAGATGTAATATTAAATTAGATTTGTTTTACAGTCTTACTGATGGTGATACAGAGCAGCAAGGGGCACTAAAACTGTCTAAGAACAGTGTCCAGATAGCTCTTCACCCACACACGCAGTTGTAAGATTACTCAGGTTCAAAATAATGGCATTTATTTAACAAACCAGGAAAAATAAAGAATCATTGAGACCACAAATGGCCATTTACCTCACTTGAAGCAGTATCCAGTGTTTTAAAGTCCTAAACACAAAGACTCCCAAGATGGCATCTTCCCGCCACTCAGGGCCTGGAGCATGTGGCAGACAATAGGCCTGGATCCAACTCACGAAGCAAAGGGCACAGCAGGAGGAGATGCTCCCTGGAGCTACAGATGAGCCAGTAGAGCACCAGACAATCGACACTGACAACAGCAGTTGCAGCAGCCAGACAACCCGAGAAGTGGCCCACGATGACTCAGATCAGCAAGTCTCCCAGCTCCTGGTCTCCACCTTCTCTTCCAGGCTGTAAACAACAGCAAATCTGGGAAGTTTCAATAGCTTGACTACCTGCATTTCCTCTTCTTCTTTGAGGTTGGCTGCTGAAAGTATGCGTGTCCTTCAGAGGCCCACAACCGTCTTCTGGAAGATAAGCATGGTGGGGACAGAAATGGCTGATCCAGGAATCACTGAAGATCTAAAATACTGAAATCCCAAACCCTGAATCTCGGGGCTGCTTATATTTCTTATCAGTGTCTCTGCCCTCACTGATACTTTGTATTTTGCCTGGGGCTATAGATCCTCACCAGCAAACCCCCCTCCAGCAGACACTACCTGTAACAACCTTTGAATTCAGCCCTGGATTACATTAGCAGCTGAGGAAGTGCAATAGCACCTATTGTTACAATGGACATAACCTGAGTTCCTAAATAAATTCATCAAAGGGATGGTCACAGGAAAGGAATAGGTTCTAAGGACATGGACTCACCTGATTTTTTTTAAAGATTGATTAATTGATTGATTGATTTATACAAGAACTGGGGTACAGTCCAGATCTGCAGGAAGGTGAGAGGTGTCACCAGAGACAGAGCGGGGAACAGAACAGGCAGACCAATGAAATACACTGCTGAGGGGAGCGGTGGGCAGCAGGAGAGTTCTGCTGTGTCATGTGGGTATCTCCCTGGCCGGCTGGGATTGAACTGGCACTGCAGAGGCTGTGGACAGCTTCACAGCGCTGTGCTCAACCTCCTGCGCCACCAGGGGAGTCCCTCATCTGATTTTTAATCTTGTTTTTATTGAGGTAACATTTGTTTACAACACTATATGTGGAAGGAGGAGATTCCCAGTAAGGAAGAGTGGCCTGTCCTTTGCCTGAGACTGACATAATGCCCGACTTCAATTTAGAGACATACCACACAAATGGCAATTGTTTCTGTCAATGGAAAATAATGATAAGTGCTGAGTTTGGGACAAGCTGCAGTGCATGTGCCCCTGTGTTGGCTGTCTCATCTATATTGAACACTCCAAAGGCCTGGGAAGCATAGTAAGACTAGAGGTAGAAATTTAGTGGAATTCCATAAAAATGGTAATTAAAATCGTAAAATGAACTAAGAAAGGGAGAATGTATAAAGATGTGGGTAACAACACCAAAGACAAAGCCCCAGGAAACATTCATACATACGATGCCAGTGTAGGAAGAGAGGTGACGGGGGAGTGGAGAAGGCAGTGCAGGGAGAGACGCCTCTGGAGAAGAGATCTAAACAGAGAGGTGTCACCATCAAACATGCTGCAGAGGTCAGGGAACCCCAGAACCACTTTCCCATTCAGATATAGCCTGCAGGGATTCTCCTCATCACTCTGGTGTTTCCCAGTAGCATATGAACAAGTTGTGCTGCTTCTTCCCTTGCATTTCCCTGAGTCCTCTCAAAAACGCTTGTATCTCTAAGTCTAGCTTAGCCCTCACATCTGCTTATTTCAAGCAGTGCAACACAGTCCCATAACCTGAGCATGTAGATGCTTGATGACTAACTTTTAAAAAATACTAAGAGCCTCCTTAGTGCCCTAGCGGTTAAGTGTCAGTGTCATCACCGCTATGGCCTGAGTTCAGTACCCCACCAGGGTACCCCACCCACATGGCACAGCAGACCTGTCCTGTCTCACCCGCTGTTCCCCTCAACAGTGTCTTTGGTCAGTCTGCCTGTTCTGCTCGCCACTGTCTCTGGTGAATCCTCTCAACCCCACACCTCTGGCCTGTACCCCAGTTCTATGCAAAAATTAAAACAAAAAGAATAATAAATACTGTACTTATCTGGCAGGCTAGATACCATGCTCACGAAGGTGATTTTCCCAGGGCAAGGCTTATCCATGGCACTTGGGGTGTGCTGACCTCTGCGATTTCCCCAAATGTGGGAAACTCAGCTGCATAATTTGTGGTAGTGGGGGACTGCATTTCTGCTTTCCCTTTAGCATTTGATAATAAAAGTGGACAAAAACTACTAAACACGGTACCTGAAATTATACATATTAAGCTATGAACCATTTGACCCTGTCCACCCCTGCTCACTTCTCTCATTCTGAATTCATATTTCCTACAAAAGATAAAATGCACTATCCTACACATCTTTATCTCCTTTTCCGCTTCCAAAACTTGACTTTTGCTTAGTGGGGTATTTAGTTATAAACTGTTAATGAATTTAAACCATTTAAGGGTAATATAAACTTAAGAAAGTGATTTCATCTGCCTAAATATATACATAGAAAACTAATTTGAAAAAAAAAATAGGAATGAATGAGTCTACTTCTCAAAGATGAGTTATTCATACGTGTCCAAGCTTCTCGAGGGTGACTTTACTAACTAGATATGGCTCCAAATCAAAATAACTACACTTCTCTGTTCAGGTTCAGAGCTTTGATTGCTTTCATTGTAGTTGACTCTACTATATTGAATTATGTCTAAAATTTTACATCCCCCATTGCCAAAAATTTCACGACTGCAGATCATCATACTATCCCAGCTGGGGCAGTGTGAATTACTGTTTATTTCTTTATGAAATATCTTATAAGGAATAAAGTCCCAGATAAGGTGATAATTACACTGAAAATAACAGCTTCTGTTTTTCCTTTGCACACTTATGTGCATCTGTGTGTGTGTGTATTGATGGGCGTGCACATATGTGTGACTGTGTATAAAACCTTAGTTGTTCTGCAAGAATGGTACTCTTAGTGCTTTTCTGGCTAGCAAAAATGACAAGAGATTCATCAACCAGTTAGATAAAAATTTCTGTGCATCACATGAACATTATATCGAGTTAAAACAACTCTACAAATTAACTCCCAGTAACAACAGTAACAAACAAAATAAACTCCTTATTAAAAATGTTGTTTACAGATGTCTGCTGAAGAGCATCTAGTAGTAAAACTTCTCTATTACAATCTAATATGATACTATATGGGTGCTTAAAAATAATTTGTTGAAGTTGAATTGAGAAGAAATGTGTTGCGTAATGAGTAAGCCTTCATGCTAATGCATGCCTAATGGCATATCCTCAACTCTTCCATCACCCAGATGTTATAAATTCAGTATCTCACTTTCTAAATAAACATACTTTTATCCCTTCTTAATTTCACTTTCACCACACATAGTTTTTACTTTTACCATCCCTTATATTTATGGCCCTTTCATATGAATTTGCCCCTTCTTTTTTGAAGATTTTATTTAATTTTGCATAGAAGAACTGGGGTGTAGGCCAGAGGTGCAGGAGGTGAGAGGATTCACCAGAGACAGAGTGGGAAGCAGAACAGGCAGATGGACTGAAAACACTGCTGAGGGGAGCAGTGGGCAAGACAGGAGAGTTCTGCCGTGCCATGTGGCATTCTCGCCGGCCAGCCGGGATCAAACCTGCACTGCAGAGGCTGTGGACAGCTTCACAGCGTGGCGCTCAACCGCCTGTGCCACCAGGGAGGCCTTTTGTAACCATTTCTAAATGCATGAGTATTAAATGAAAGCATTCAACTCTATTCTGTTATGACCCTCATCAACTCTATCTTTTTCGCTCTTTTCCTTCAATCCTACACCACTAAAATGGGGCTTCTGTCCTTATCACGACAGCAAAACTCTCCATTCATATTGCCAGATCCTAAAGACAATTTTAAGTTCTGTGCTCTCTGTTGAATCTGAGGTTGTTGGCAATATTGTTCCTTTCTCCACCACTCTCCATCACTGCTCTTATTGTTATTCTCTCCCCTCTTTAATTTCATCAAAAATTTTTAAGGAATAACTTCTCCATATATCCCTTAAATGCTAATATTATCCAGACTTCTACATTTCTCCCTTGTTCATGTAAGAAATAAAACACATGCTATGAGTTGATCTCATTTCCTCTAACAGTTCTACAAAGTACTAACTTCTAGAAAACATTTAAATATCTAGACCAGACATCTCTGCTTTGGATTATATGTCTAGCTACATTCTTGAAAAAATTCAGAAACATTTTCAATCCATCATATCAGAAGGCAAAATCCTTAATACACATTTCTCTTTAGTAAACTGTAGTGATCACTCAAGTGAGAAAATCAGTCCTCTATACTCCTTCTTACCTCACAATCGACACAGTATTAAGCAATGACCCCTATCTATTTGAACTCCTAAACACAGTTGTGCCTTGACAACTGGAGATCCGATAGAAATGGAGGAGGGAAGTGGGGTTTATAGAAACCAGAACTCATACATTAGACAATTCCATTGTTTGTCACAGCTGTGCTTGCCAAAGTGAAGAACCCATCTGCAGAGCTGAGCTGGTTTCCCCATCTGTCCAAGGTGCCCCTGTGGGTAGTTCTGCCTGGTTTGGGTCCCCAGCCAATGAACCATACCAGCTTTGGAGGGCTTTGCATGGCTGTGTCAGGGAAGGGAAACAAATTTGAAGCCTTGCCTACAGCTGAATATAGCTACAAGTCTTGCCAAACCAGGAAACCTAACAAGAGAATCCAAAAAGCTGTAGAGACCAGACTATTACTGCAAATGGACAAGAAAGCAAACAAGACATCCTGCCCAAATGTGGAAATATAGCCCATGACCCTGCCTAGCCAAAGCATATAACAGTAACCCTGGACACCCTTGTTACCAGTTATTGGTACCAATTAGCTACAGTGTACAGTCTATTCCAACATATAACCCAGCCAACAACCTTGTCTGAATTGCTGAATGCAGCATGCAAGTTTGCCAGGCAGAATACACATCATGTGACCCAGACCAGTCATGGAGCATAGACAGATTCCACAAAGGGAATCCAGAAAGCAACACTACTCTCCACTAGCCCTCCCTATCTATGGGAGGGCTGTAGCCCACACCCAGTCAGAGTGTGGACAGTGACTTTGCTTAATAGTGGAGCACAATTAGGCTTACCTGATTGAAAATTCAGCCTGCAGCCCTACCCAACTTCAGAGCACAGTCTGTAACTCCACCTGATTCCAGAGCACAGCTGGAGACCACATCTGGCTACAGAACCCTGCCTGCACTCCCTGGACATAGACTCTAGCCAGCAGCATTATTTGAGAATGATGTCTGGTCCAAAGAAATGGAGATTTATGAATTTGGAATAAGCCTCCAAAAGAAGTTCAGTGAGCAATAAGAACACACAGACAATCAAATGAAACTAGAAAACAATACATGAATAATAGCTCAACGAAAATAGAAATTATTGCACACATACACATGAAATGTGAAAACAAACAACAATCCTAGGAAATTATAAATTCAATAACCTAAAATGGAAGGAAAGAAAGCTGAAAGATTATTTTTAAAAACAGATTTATTTTATTTATTTATGTATACAAGAACTGGGGTATAGGCCAGAAGTTTGAAACACAAGAGTATTCACCAGAGACAAAGTGGGGAGCAGAACAGGAATATCTACTGAAATACACTGCTGAGGGGAGCAGTGGGTGAGACAGGAGAGGTCTGCTGTGCCATGTGGGTAGCTTCCTGGCACCAGTCATCTAACTCCTGCTCCAGTGGCTGCAGACAGCTTAATAGTGCTGAGACTTAACCACTTGCGCCACCAGGGAGGCTTGAAAGTATAAACTTTTTGTATGCTATCCAAGTTAATGTGGTATACACTTCAATAGGATGTGTTTTATATGTATATATATTTATATTTATATATATAAATATATTTATATATATATATAAGTTATATTTGTAAGTCTCATAGGACAAAGGAAAGACTTGTACTAGATACACAAAAGAAGTCCCAACATATTGTTGCAAAAGGATTAAATCACCAAGAGAGGAAGAAGGAACAAATAATCTGCAAAACAAAACCATGAACAAAATGGTAGTTACTTACTGTCCTTACATATGATCATTACTTTAAAGAAAATCAGGGTCTTCCTGGTGGCACAGGATTTAAAGTCTCATGCTATCAAGCTATTGGCAGCCATTGTGGCATGAGTTTGATCCCTGGCCAAGGAGTTACCCACATGGCATAGCAGACTTCTCCTGTCACGCCCGCTGCTCCCCTCAGCAGTGTATGTCAGTCAGTCTGCCTGTTCTGCTCCCCACTCTGTCTCTGGTGTATCCTTTCACCATGGTGTATCCTCAACCCCATACCTCTGGCCTACACCCCAGTTCTTCTATGCATAAATAAAAATAAATATTTTTTAAAAATTGGATACATTCTCCAAACAGAACACAGAATAATGAGAAAAGAAGCTCATGGGATGAGCTCCCTATGAGAGATTTCTTTAGCTTTAAGGATACGTATAGACTGAAAATAAAGGGAATGGAAGATATTTCAAGCAAAGTTAATCAAAGTAAAATAAGGGTAGCCATGCTCATATCAGACAAAATTAAGCTTTATGGTAAAAGTGGAAAAAACAAAATAGAAGATTGTAATATGGTGATAAAGGTGCCACTTCATTAAAAAGATATGACAACTGAAAATATTCATGAATCTGAGGTCAAAGCACCTAAATATATTCACATAAATTAGTGGAGAAATAAACAAAAATACATTAATGGTTGGGAAACACAATACCTTACTCTCAACAATGGATAAATCATCCAGACAGAAAATTAAAAGGAAGTAGGGAGCTTCAGCACTATAGATCAAATAAATGTAACATATATTCAGAACAATTCTTGGAACAGCAATAGAATGCAATTTTTTTTTTTTTTTTTTAAATATTAAATTTTATTTTTATATTCCCCCATACAATTGCAAACGCCCCATTCTGACCCCAATCCTTCCCCTCCCGCCCCCCACCCCCCAAAAAGTGTCTCTGGTTCATAGTTTTTTTGTTGATTTTGATTTTCACTTTCTTATATTCATTTTCCTGGTCCCTTATTTAAGTTTTCTAGATTCCTGCTATGAGTGAGACCATCCGGTATTTTTCTTTTTCTTTTTGGCTTATTTCGCTGAGCATGATCCCTTCCAGTGCCATCCATGTTGCTGCAAATTGCATGTG